CGGAAGTTTTTCCAAAGAAATATTGGGAAAAACCTCTGGTTTCAATTTGAAGAAAAATAGTTCTCAAAATCAGAAATTAAGCCGAAAGCGACTGTTGTAAACAGTGCAAATTTTATATAATCTCCACTTTCAACAGCTTTCAACGTGTATTTTGTAAACCTGACCGTTTGAGTCAAATTGTCTTGATTTTTCTCAACCCTTTTACTGCAGACGAGTATTAAGCAAAAAAATAGTTTATAGGACTGAAAACTTCAATAAAACTCCATTTTCTGCGATTTTCTCATACTTCGGAAATGTTGCTTTTTTAACGCAACTTCAAGTTCAACATTTTGTCTTAGATTCCCAAAAACCCTGCAAATTTGTTCAATTTTCGACAATTTCTGAAAATATTGACTCGCCACTGCAGCAAAGTTGGAAATTTCAGGAATTGAAAAACCCTAAACTGAAAAAGCGCAAGTCAAAAAAATTACAATTCCAAAACATTTTGAGCAAATTTCCAAAAAACACCCTTGTTATTTGTCCAATAACTCAATGACTTTTGACGGGATTTTTAAACAAGAAAAACCCAAATCAAGCCCATTTCAACAGCTTTCAAGCACATTTGAAGCCATCCCAAAACCCATTTTTGCTCAGCCAAAATCAATGTTCGTCATCAACCCAATTCGCACCATTTCTGCCCGATTAACTTTCTATGTGTTTTTTTTTTTGTAACGAATAATATGCGAGATGTGACCCCAAAAGCACATTTGCCATGAAATATAATATGCATTTAATCATTTTAATGCTCGAAACTGGTCGGCCGGGGCACGCTAATGAATAATTCAACGGGAATTAGAAATTGAAACCCAAATTTTGCTTAAAATATCGTGAATTCGTTTTAATTGGGCCGTTATGCAAGCGACTTGGTTACAATTTGTTCCCACAATTATTCAAACCATTAACTCGCGGAATTATGATAATTATTTAATTAATAATTGCGACTTGTTTTGTGGGTTTTGGGCTGTCGAATGCGATTTTTGTTCAATTCGCTCGGAAATGCGTCTAAATTAGGCCGAAAACCAGTAGCCAATAAACGATAATTATGTCTGCATGTTGTGTTACCAGTCGTTGAATTTCTCCGATTTTTCTGTCGCTGGTAATTTGTGGTTGTGCGAACCACAAAGAGAAAACCAGACGGAGAGTAATTTTCCGTTCAATCATCACTGAGATTAATATATTAAATGCAACCGGGGGAAATGGGGGGTTTTTAGTCAAAGGCTGACAAAACCTGGCTAATTAAGCGGCGAAGTGATTAACTTTAAATAGCTAAAAAGCCTTTTACCATCGAATAAACCATCATTTTTCACATTGCGTAGTTTCCCAATTGCTGCTAAATAATGACTATGCAGGTGGTCGTGGTAATTGCACGCTTTTTGCCGCTTTATTTTACCTAAACTAGAGGTTTTTCTCAACATTTCTTTGGCCGAACTGCCGACGCATTCACATGAAGATTTACAGAAGCTTTCAGAGTTTGCCTGAAAGAAGTTGATGTTTGACATAAATGTATGAAAGATTTAAGAGATTTTTGAGAACAAAATATTTGGTATTGAAATAAATAAACTTTTCTTCAAATCGCTCAAGTTGTGGCGATTTTTTCAATTTAGTTCCCGACCAGACTGGTTTTGGAAAACATGGTGGGACTTCCAAATTCGTAACTTCCCAACCAAAGTCAGGTAAAGCTGCGCTCAACAGCAGTAGAAAGAGAATGTTTCACGCTACCATGTTGGAAAAATTCGGAAAAATCCCCAAACTACCCAAGTTGTGGCGAATTTTTCAAATTATTTTCCGATCAGACGGGTTCTGGCAAACTTGGCGGGACTTAAAAATTCGTAACTCACCAGTCCCAAGTCACCTAAAGCTCCACAAAACAGCAATCGAAAGAGAATTTTTTGCTCTATCATGTGGAAAGTTCCAATAAAAATCCCCAAGTTGTGTCGAATTTTTAAATTTAATTCGCGATCAGACTGGCTTTGGAAAACATGTCTGGAGTTAAAAATATGTAAGTCCTCAACTCCAAGCCACGTAAAGCTGGACCAAACATAAATGGATAGAGCACGTTTGCTCTACAACGTTGTAAAATTTCGCAAAAATCCCCAAATAGCCCAAGTTGTGGAGAAATTTGCAATTTTCTGCGCGACCACTTACGACTGATTGTAGAAAACATGGCTGGACTAAAAAATTTGTAACTCCCCAGTCAGAAGCTGCGTAAAATTGCAACAAACAGCAGTAGAACGTAAATGTTTTGCTCCACTATGTTGGCAAATTTCATAAAAATCCCCAAATTCCGCAAGTTTTGGTGAATTTTTCAATGTAAATCAATTCAATTTGTTGATGTTGTTTGTGACACTGTGTTTTGTTCAAAAATTCATTCTTAAGAAACTGGTTTACCCTGACTTTGGTTTTGACATTACTTTGAAGATAAAGAGTTACTCTAAATTTTCGGAAAGCTGAGGAAAAATAAACAAAAGTTTAAGAATTTTTTGAAAAATCTCTAAATTTGTCGTTAAAGCAATCAAGTATAGTTTTTCAAAATGTAATAGAGCAGACACTATTTCTGCTAGAGCGCTTGCTATGGAATTATTATATAGGCAGAAGTTTGTTCTAAAAGTCTGAATAACTAAAGGTCTGAATCGCGTCGGGCTGAATTTTTAGAACCGTTCAAATCTGTGTTTAGAACTGGCTGATTTGGCGTTGTTGCAAGTTGTCGTTGTGTTTTCAAAAATTCAGTACATCGAAACTGGTTAAT